TACCTAACATGTCAGGAACTATTATTTATTTTGTCGTGTGCCAGAAAGAGTGTAATTTTGTGAGATATATAGTAATTTTTTGCATCATAATGCATGATAAAATATTCAGTTTATTGTTCCCACTTGATGGGGCCCTCAAGGAATTTGTTCTGCCACACCCCATATGCTCTTATCTCTGTAATCATCCTAAAAGATAGAGTCCCTAGTCATCTACCAAATTAAGCACAAGGTTAAGTGTTCATGTAGTCAGCACTGTCCTGTTATTAGGGCACTCTCCACATCTATGATGAATGGTGGCTCTGAAATGTCCTATGAGGATTACAGACCCCAATTGCTAAAGTATATGTCTATTTCCTACTTCTCTCATCAAAATGTTGGTCACAGACAAATTCCTTGTTCAAACACCATCCCTGATTCTGAATCAGGTGGAAACTATCCACTTGGTTTTCACTCACCTTTCTAACCTTCTTAGACATGTTTAAGAGTCCACACTATACAGATCAGAAACGAAGCAAAAAAGAATGTGAAAGCTGTTGCTCGTTTTTCCAAAAAAATTGCTTCACCTGAGTGAAAAGACCCAACAACTGAACCTAAGAATTCTAGGCTACTGATGTTTTAGAAACTAAAACATTTCTGAAAACACATGAACAGGCATAGGAGACAGGAGGGAGAGATCATGGAAGTTAAGGAAGGAAAGGATTTCAAGAACAAAGGTGAAAAGTTCCCCAAGAGTGCTGTAACTACCAAGAAAGTCAACTATCTGAGACAGCTAGTAAGCTATCTGAGTTCAGTCTCCCATCTCCATTTTAGGAAAAAGAACAACTTCTCATGGAAGGATTCCAGAAAGAGAGCAGCAAACTTCAGCAACAGTTGGAGAAAATGAGGAAGAAATGGCAGTACCCAATGTGTACCATTCTTTAAAATCCAAAGACCAAGCCTCTCTTCCAAGCTTCCTAACATCAGGTTGAAATGATCAACTTCAGAATGTAAAGCAACTTCCAGTCAATTAAACTTGAAAACATGGTGCTTGACTTTGGGGGGAGTATCTAACTTCTAGTGTAAAAGTAAAAATGATGTTTCAGCAATGAAGTGTTTCAATTCACGTTTGCATATGCTACTAAAGATTAATTTGATTTTTAATTGGATCTCATATTTAAAATTGTGAACATGAACATGAGGAAGATACTAAATTGTATGACTGGGATATTATTACTATTTAATAACTTACTGATGCTTTGAGAAGTTCATACAATATACTTTGATCATATCTAGACTCCATCCTATCACTCCTCCCACTCTAATACACCACCCACAACTTCATGTCCTCTATTATTATTTTTCTCTTTTTAAAGGCCTATTGAGTCTAATTTGTGTTTATCAAATGCTCTTGGGTGTGGGTCTCTCCCTTGTCAACTGCTCAACTTATGAGCTGTCACACCCTTAAACAAAACTCATTCTCCGTATCCCAGCAAATATCAATTGCCAATAGATACTCAGGTAGGGCTGGAGCTTCTAGTCCACCTCCCCAATTCATGCTTGGTTTTTATCTGACTTGGGTTTGCACAGGTCTTGTGCATGCCATCATAAGTGCTGTGGGTTCTTACATGGAACTTCCCTGTGGTGTACAGACAATACAGTCTCCTTGTATTTATCTACCACCTTTGGACCTTACAATCTTTCTGCCCACACTTCCACAGTTATCCCTGAGCCTGGAGGGAGAGGGTGTGATATAGGTATCCCACTCAGGGCTGAGCACTCCATAGTCTTTTACTCTTTGCCCACTGACCAATTGTGGATCTCTGCTAATCAACATCTACTTCAAGAAAACTTCAATGATGAGAGATGAGAGGCATACTAATCTGTGAAGTACAACAATAAGTCATTAGGAATTATTTTACTATTATGTCAATTTAGCAGAGTAATAGTAATAGGTTTTGCCCTACTGCCTGTGACTTGTATAGCTACAAGTTAACACTGCCAGGTATAGGCTCCATCTTGTGAAGTGGGCCTTAAATCCAGTCAGAAGGTAGTTGTTTGTTCCAATTACATTTGCACCACTGTTGTGCAATGGGCATATCTTGTCATGACAGTCAGTATTGTAACTGACTGAGTTCACAGCTGGGTAAGGTTGATGACTACTTTTCTCCCCCAGTAGCCTGCATAGCAGCCTCTAGTACTAAGATAGCTGTCCAGTAGAGATGAGAGTTCAAGGTCAGTACCAGCATGATGCATCTGTTTCTTCTACAGCTCACTTATGTAGTGACTTCAGCTTTGGAGTCTTACCATCAAGTTCTGGTGGGTAACCAAGAGTAATGACAATACCCAGTATTATTTGAGGGTTTATAGGACCCCCTGGTCAACAACTCTAAAAGAGACATTGGGTTATTTATATCCTAGCATATGGTGTCTGTTAGGGCCATTGAATATCCATTATAGGATATCTACATTTCAACTCTTTATATTGCATATGGATATATTTTAAGAAGCTTCTATATTAGCAGATTCCTATATTATTTTTGGAAAATGCCTTTAGTGTTAGTTATTTCTCCCCATACTCACTCCTCTGCCCTGCCCTCCCATTCTCTACCCCATTCACCCTTCCTATCCCATTGCTTCTCATGACCCATTTATATCTCTGCATCCTATCTCCCATCCCACAAATATCCTTAGTTTCCCAATGTTAATGGATTTTCCATAAAAGGGTTCCTATTGGAACACACCTATCTAAAGATTCAAACCTAGCATCCATGTGGCATTTGTCTTTTGGTATCTGGATTACATCACTCAGGATAACTGTTTCCAGTTCCATTCATTTACTTGAGAATTTCATAACTTTGTTTTTCCTGACTAATGGGTAATATTGCATTGTGTAAATGTAGCATACTTTCATTATCCATTCATCAGTTGATGGTCATGTAGATGTTTCCATTTCCTGCCTATTGTAAATAGGGAGCAATAAGCATAGATGAACAGGTATCCCTGTGGTAGACTATAGAGTCCTTTGGGTATATACCCAAGAGCTGTATGGCTGTATCATGTGGTACTTGTAGCTTTTAAAGGGAACCCCACTGAACATGTGTGATCATGTCTTATTGGGATATTTTTTGAGTGCTGTGAATTGGAGGTGCTATTTGGGTAGAATTTTATCATATATACCCCTTTCTAGTTATTCTGAGCCCCATGCTCGTAAACAAGTCAAGGTTTTGCTTTTGTCCTAAAATAAGGATGGCACGGTGTGAAAGTGGGAAACTCCGATGGAGATGAACATACCATGGGGCAGACATAGTGTGGCCTCACTACTGCCAAGTGGTCCTTGGCTCTCATGCTGTCTGCAGACAGGGGAAGTGTGGACACTGAGCTTGACTCTGATTTCAGACAATGGGCAGCTCTCAAGTAGCAAGGCTGCATGACATCAGGGTCTGTGGGCATTGGTAGAACCACTGTACTGTAGCAGAAGAAGTTCCCCTCTGTTCAGAATGCATGTACGAGTGGAGGCTCCACCTTCCCTGTTTCCTAGGCCCAGCTCCATGCTCAAACCAAACCTTTCCTTTTCTATCTCTTTTTCTTAGTTTCCTCTCCTTTTACTATTTATAGAATAACTTCAATCACAGAATGGGAAACTTGAACTCAAACTCAAATTCCTTTGCCTTCCTTTGAAGATAATGAGCATAGTCCTACAAATTCTGAAACTCATCTCCATTTTTCTCCCTGTGTCTTTACTATGACCACATAATTTCAAGACTCTAAGGATAAATGCCTCCCTTCAAGATAACAGAAGTTAAGAGAAATCAGTTAATAAAAGATCAAGCTACCATAATTGTTTCAGAATGTATGCTATTTGTGGTTCATTATTGAAAATAACAAGCTGATTACAAATTTAAATAAAAAATAATTCTGAGAGTATTCGTTAGCACACAGGCACTCAGGATGGTGAAGGCATCAGCTCCACATTTATTCTATTCATAAAAAACCACAACCTATTTTGTCACTGATCAAACTAGAAATCAATAACATGAACACTTTCTTCAATTCCTAAGTACATGGATACAAAATTATACAGTCCTAAACAACCAATGTTTCAATGAGAAAAATCAAAAAGGATGGTTGTGATAGAACTCTTCAAATGTGTGCTGTGTTTCTTATCTGGCATTGGTTCACATTCTTTTTCCTTTTTAATGTTTATAATTTTATTATTCTTTTATGCCTTAACAATGTCCTATATAGCTCTGAAGAATTCTGGACTTTCTGTACCTGGATGTTGGCATATTTTTCCAGATTAAAGAAACTTTCTGTCTGTATTTTTTTCTTTCTTTTTCTTTAGTGAATTTGTATGTATTTCATACAGAATATCTCAATCAATCTTAATCATCTTTATACTGCCTTTCCCACTGGCACCCTCCCATAGCTCCCCCACCCATACACACACACACTGGAATTCATACATTCTGTCATTTGTCTTAAGGCCTATTTTCAAGTTGACATCCCCAGATGTCCATCGCAAGTTCACCCACTGAGGTATAGTCAGCCTATCTAGAGTCTCTCACTTTAGGAATATCAGCTCTTCCTCACCAGCAGTAATCAGTTGTCAATATTTCTTCAGCTAAAATTGGGGTCAGCTGTCCATTTCCCCAGTTCTATGCTGGGTTTTTATCTGTTTGAATTTGCATGGGTCCTGTTCATGCTGACAACATTGCTGTAGATTTATATGAGCAAGGTCCCAGGAGTTTGTAGAATCTTTCCACCCCCTCTTCCTCAGTGGTCCCTGAGTGCATTGATGGATAGAGTTTAATATAGGAGTCCTATCCAAGGACCAGCATTCTGCAGACTCTTCAACAGTACCACATATGAGTTTCTTCCCATTGAGTAGGATTTAGTCCAATTAGGTAGCCATTGATTGTCCCCAAGCTAAAAGTGCCACTACTGTACCAAATGTCATATGCTGTTCAGGTTACTGATGTGGTTATTTGGCCTTGAAGCTGGTGTTGGACCATCAATTGATGTTCTCCCTTAGCACCTTGCATAGTGCTCTTCAAAGCTATGAGAGCTAGCCTTCAGGGGAGAAGGATTCCAGGTCAGTTCCAGTTTCATTGCTCCAAATCCTGTGTCCGAAGTATGTTCTGTCTTCAGCAGTAGAGTCTTACCTTCAAGTTCTGTGAGACAATCAAGGGCTGTGGCAATAGCCTGTGTGATTTTGGGAGTCTCAGACTACCCTGGCCAACAACTCAAAGGAGGTTCCTCCTGTCTGGCACTGTTTCTTTTTATGTAGCCTTTAGCTATACATATGGACTCATCTAAAGATATTGTATATGTAATTTGTCATTAAGTTATTGGACTAATATAATTTCAATGTTCTTTCTATTTTCTCTTTCTTGTCCATCTAAAACACCTGTTATGCAAAGGTTGTACCTCTTGATCGTGTTCCATAATTCCCACCGACTTTCTTCTTCTTAGTGAAGACGATAAACATTTTATTTGTTTCTTGCTGTTCTGCAAAGATGTCACTTTAGTGTATAAATGCATTGCCAGTCAATGCAGCATATTGTCAAATTAAGACAGCTGTCTTCATCTGACCCCACATGACACTTTCCTGCTCTTTCAGGCATTTCCAGTGGGAAAATGGTTAAGTCTTCTGATCAAAATCCAGGAGACAGCTATAAGAAAGTTACAATACTATGAGACTTATGGAAGCATTGTTAAGTTGAAATACAGACTTCTTATAACCACTTTTTATCATAGATAATCTCATGAATTCTGAATATCATAGCTTAACCTCTAGATAGGACTTAATACCCAGTCTAAGGTATTATTTTTAAAAATACGCACATTGTGTTTATCTGTCACTGAGAGGAAACTGACTTTCTTTGCTGTCAGTATTGCTGTAAATTATTTAGTCTTCTATCCACCACTAATGCAGACAACTA